CTCACTGCCCTGCAGTCCCCTGCAGCAGCTGGCTGACACTACACCAATTTCATGCAAACTGAAGCCATCTGTACATGTTATTGCCACTTCTTTCCTTATTTTTCAGACCTCCCTCCTAATGTGAATCAGCAGATTAATAGCAGCAGGTTCAGTGCACTCTTCTGGTAGCAATGAGGGTGCAGTACATGATGCAAACAAGTATCTGCTGTTAACTGCAGGGAACAATTCACAGGAAGGGAATTTTGTCGTGGATTGGAATTTTTCATTACTTTTATATGATTACTGCATTGTATTTTGCAGACCTCAAAAATGTGACTGTGATGGCTGTGATATAAATGATGAAGTCAATAAAAATCTTTACTCTCCTTAAATAGCTATCTGTCCACTACAAATACTACTGAACATTATCTCCAGTCACAATTAAGAATGGATTTAGACAGGTAACAGGATAGAATCATCTTGTTAATTTTCTACTAAACTAAACTACTCTGGGAGAGACAGCAGGCTCTCTGACAAAAACAATCCATTATCTGCTTCAGATGATAATATTAATTGTATTTCCACTCTTTACACCCCTAATGGCATTACTGCTTACTGCAATCTTACCAGTGCTACAATAACCAAGAGGCTGAAGAAAGAGGCACATCTTTGATGCCCCACTAGTAACAGAAATGTCCTCATTTATAGTTGGTTTTGTGCATATCATTGCTTTTAGACTGTAAGTAAACTTAGAGAGGCAAAATTCTGTTAAAAAATGCATAGTGCCCTATATAGTTAGCAGAACACTAAAAATGCAACAGTTGTTGCTGACCTGAGATATCAAAGTAGAGATGCTCCACACGAAGTGTGGACTCTGTGAAGCTCTTGGAAAGTTTGAAATGTCTTCCAAAGCTTGAAAACAAGTAAGTAAATCTGAATAAAGGAATTATTCCTGCATTTCAGAGGGTGAAATATTTTGTTCAGTGTGCCAACTTTAACATGTCAGCATCCGCTAGCAGAGAATTCTGGTAGTAATATTCATAAGAAGCCAGGATAAATAATTTCGTTGCTCTGTGACCCAAGCATGCAGTCTTCTGCTGATTTAAACAGGCACTGAATATTTCTGAAGATCTCATTAATTCAATTAAACAGTAGCAAAGACGGTCTCAGAGGAAAGAAAAATCTCTGCATAATTATTAACACCAACATAGGTGTGTACCATGTGTTCTGTGTGACAGTGACAAAAATGCCCTCCTTAAAAAGAGTGGCAATTTTGGCACATACAAACAGCTGAGGGACTTGTGACCTCTCAAACCTTCAGTCTGATGCATGTTCTGAACACTGCCTCCAGTCCTGTCAGTCTTGAATGCTGAGTTTATACATGATTGACTCCTAAATGGAGTAAGATTGTGCTTAGTGTTATTTCTACAAGAAGCCTTCCTAATTTTGAAGCCTTTTTTGTTATATGTGACAAAAATACGAGAGTTCTCAGCAGGGAGCCTCCCTGAAACACACATCATTTTGTGTTTGGCAAAAGTAAAAAATACAATGAAAGCAAAAGGATAAAGTACCAGACTTACCAAAAAATACTGCAGTAATTTTTCTTCCTTTGGAAAGTGTCTTATTTGTGTTCACCCCTCAGAAAGACATCTACATTTCTTTAGCTTGGGAGAAAAAAACCAAACTGCTATATAACCCAACACCCACTGTTAAAGCCAGAGTTGTTAAAAGCTCTTTAGGGGTTTGAATAGTGAGTGAGTCTTCATGGTGTTTGCAGCATTCTACACAGAACACTGTACTTTTATGCCCTCCATGTCCCACATTCTTAAAAATTAAGTAAGACAGCTTTACATGGTCTGCTCTTTCACTAAAATGACCCCTCTGTAATTACACATGGAGATACAGACTACAGAAACACTGACCCTCCTTTGGGATGGTGCTATCCAGGTCTAACAGAGTAAACAAAGCGTAACACAAGATTCAGCTGGCTAAGAGGTAATGTAAAAGTGAAACATATTGATATCTAACAATAACTCAGAAACTGAAAACAATCTGGGACCTTGAAGGTCAGCCATCATTTAGGACTAAGTCAAAGTATTAAAACACAAAACAAACGAGCAAAACAAAGAATAACAAAAGCAACTGAGATAGCAATAGCAGTAAGTGATCATGCTTAATTGAGGAGTAAAATGCATGACAGGAGCAAGGTGATTTTCACAGAAGGTAAGATGTAGATGAGAGGCACAGAACCATTGGCACAGATGAGTTCCAGAGAGACACCACAAGGATATAAGGATTATAAAAACCTACTTGCACTTCCAATGAACTCTGCTCTACGGTTAGGCAGATGCATTAGTCCTTAAGAGGGAAACCATTAAAAAAGTAGGGCAGCAGTTTCACCAGAGAGAAACAAGTTAGAACAATCCTTTTGGGAATGCTTTCATTAAAAAGGGCTGCCCCTTTTTATAGTTCAAGGCAAGATGCACATTTCCTTTAAAAGTTTATTTTGTTAATTCTGAATACTCTAGCTTTGTAAGTGATAAGTACTTACAACACATTAAAAAGCAACAAATTTTCCCTATGAGTTAGATAAAGGTTTTCTTTCATATCTGTAAGGTCAAGCTCTGCTTCCAGCAAAAAAAATACCTTCTGTCTTTTGAAGCAGAAAAGTTCCCTTTCTGATGCTCCCAGGCTGCAAAGGATGAAGCCCCCTGACAGATACATATTCCAAGAGAGATTACATCTTAGAGCCACCCTCAAAAATCATTTACCAGATGAAGTAATGAAAGGCAAATTACTAATAAAAGGTGGCAACTTGACTAGCTTTTTGTATTGCCCTAATCATGCTCACAAAATCCAGGGGCAGGCTAAAAAATGCCTTCCCTCAGATCTAAGATAAAGACTGTTCCGAACATTCTGAGCAAAGCTGTTATATAAACCCACCAATGGAGATATCTTCTTGTATCCCAGAGTTAGCCCACCCACTTATTCCAGAAACCCAGACAGATAAAGCCTCAACGAGGAGAACACCAATCAAGGTGATGCACCAACGTCTTCCTGTGTACATCTACCCCTCTGCCACACCTGCAGTGAACTGGATCCAAGGGACCTGTCACACCACCTGCACAGGGACTATTGTGAAGCAGAAAGGCTACAGGGGGAGGTGGGGGGACACTCTCTTTGCTGCTACTACTGAAATTGTTCTGCTGTTCTGTACTGCTGCTAGAGCAGGGAATAACACCCAGCATCAGACTGCAATCCTCCCTACCCCATTTCCCTGTGCTGTTTCTGGCTTACCATGGACAAAACTGGATAAAATACAGGCATTGCCCTGGGAGCTGGAATCAGCACCAGGTGCCTGCACCTCTTGCATGTGGATGTCATAGGTTTTTCGCACTAACCTAGACAGTTTAACATGCTGTACTAGCCTCACAATTTGAGTAATAACTAGACAATTCAAAAAAATCTAAATTGGGGTTGGGATAATTCATCACTGTACCACCAGAAGCAGTTTCCTTCATTTTTACTTGGGAAAGTGGTATTATTCTGGGCAAGTTTATCTAAACAGCAGGCCTAGAACTACGGCTAACTCCTGACAAGATATGATTGCTTTAACAGAGAACTGGTAACATGCTTACCCTTGATGTCATGCTATTAGTAGGCTGAGCCTCGTTATGGGCAGATTTGTTTTCCAAGCTTCCCTAAGCAACAGTCACAACACCCTTTCCTAAGGACAGCTGTAAAGGGATATTACACTGAGATTTCATATCAAGAGCAAAGAAAACAGTCAGATGTCAATCTTCAGCGACAAGCAGTTGAAAAGATAATCCAAGACGATATAACTAATTAATATCAAAGACTACACACACAAAACATTGCTTGCAGATGAATCCAGATTGCGGCAGAGGCAACCAAAAAGGGATTTCAACCACATGCCTCCTGCGCTTCTTACACCCCATATCCCAAGGGGAAGTAAGACAACCCCCAAACTGGTATTAAGGGTTTGATTTCCAAAGAGGCTCAATACTAAGCCCATAACATTCACAAATTTCAGCATCTGGTTAAATGATTCCCCTGAACCATGCTGCCTACTGCAGATCCCTCTTTTCCTCCATACACCACACCATACAGGGGCCTTCAGCTCACAGTTATGCGGGACTGGGAAGCCCCAGGTAAGGGCCATTAGGAGGGAGGGCTGCTTAATCCACACCTACAGTTCAATTTAAATCTGCTCAGCTCTTGGCATGGGTATTTTTAAAGTGTAAATTAATCCAAGTGTTGTTCATTTTGTGAGCCAAAACTTGAAACAAATACTGTTTTTTTTACTACCTTTGATCCTTTGTTTTGGAAATAATACCACTTTTGATTTCTGAGCTGAAAGCTTACAACTGTTTCTAATATTACACTTGATGTAAATGATTCAATAGCAACAGCACTCAAAATACTCCTTTACGAATTTTAAAGACTGCTTTAAAATATTTTGTATAGTGAAAGCACTTACAGCTTATTTGAATTCTGGTTAATAAGTAAGTAACTAAAAAAAATACATCAGCAGTATTTTTTTCTTCTCTCAGTGTGAATGAGTTCTCTCGTGTCTACACTGGGAAATGCTGATTATTGATATTGTTGTCAGAGATAATCACTGTTTTTAGACACATCCACTTCCTAACTCTATCACCAAACTCATTAAAAAGTTCAAGTACAGAATAAAGTGGAAAATTTTAATAGCTTAATATTATTAGCTTGATATTCTTAGTTGCAGAGAGGGATAGCATCAGTTATAATGCTAAAGAAAAACAGGCATAAATCTATCTGTAAGGGCCATATAAAGGAGTTCATTTAAGTCAAGTGTTCCTGTGAACCTTGCTTGTGTTCAAAAACTGTATTTTCTATACTGAGTACTTTGCTTTTAAAATAATAATGTTTAGCTTTTAGTCATTCTAACCATTCAAACAGAAATGTTTTTAGTTTGAATACTTGTTGTAAACCTTTTAGGGTGAAAAATGAAAGATAATAAACCCTTGATCAATATAACTTTTATTTATTCATCTGGGAACAGAGGATATCATAGGCAACATCGCCGCCTAGGAGAACAAGGATTTCACATAATCTGTTTTGGCAGAAACACACATTTAAATAATCATCCAAATCACCACCTCACTATTTCTAGCTTTAAACAAAAATCAAAACAAAAACCAAACAAACAAAAACAGAGGAAAAAAATCCATAAGATCTGAACAAACAAGCAGGTCAGATTTTTTTTTGTATGTAATGTCTACGCCAGCCACATCCATCCCTGATTTCAGAAGTCATAATACTTAGCACTGACAATGGCACCTTTCATTTGCAAACATGTTATAGACATGAACTGACTGTAATTATACCACAATACCTCACCGCAGCTAATCAACATGACTGCCTGGTCCTCTCTCAGCCTGGGGAAGTGCTGATTTAAGTTTGTGCTGCCAGTCCCCTGCATGACAGTGTCTACATCCCGCAAAGTGCTACACACAGAAGTGAGTTTAGCATGAAGTGACTAACCAAACTACAGCAGGTTTTTCCACTCAGTGCTAATATTTTCTGTTATAATCCACAAAGAACTGATCAGAGCAGGATACAATTTAATGTAAACCATTTGGAGTGAAAGGTGTTATTTTGCCTAGCGAAATCTCCCCCTCACAGTCCAGGTCACAAACAGAGTCAGTGGCAACCTCATGGTCAGGGCTTATCTGGGACATCCTATCAAAAGGGTCCTCACGATTTTCCTCACAGTCAACCACATTTGGGATCATGTTAACATAAGCAGTCACTATCTCCTTATGGAAAAGGGTGTCCTGGTTGTAAGAGATAAGCTCATTGCTTATATTAACAGTCTCCACCGGAGTACTAGAGCAAAACTGACCGCATCCCAAGAGGTTGGAGAAAACCTTCCTAAAGTCAGCATTGAAGGCATAGATGATGGGGTTGAGAGAAGAGTTGGCCCAACCAAACCAGACAAAGATATTAAAGGTGGTCTCACTGACGCAGGGAAGGCCAGCGTGGGGATCACTGGGTGGGCTCTCACAGAAGGGCACCATGCAGTTCAAGATGAAGAATGGCAACCAGCAGCAGACAAAGACGCCCATGATGACAGAGAGCGTCTTCAACACCTTGGTTTCTTTCCTGATGGAGGACTTGAGGCTTGTGTGATGGTGGCAGTCAATGTGGCTGCTCCGGCAGCTCTGTGCATGCTCAGCTGCCCTCTCCAAGGAAGAGATACGACGAATCTGCACCTGGGCAATGCGGTAGATTCGAGTGTAGGTAACTATCATGATAGCCACCGGGATATAAAAACTGATCAAGGAGGAGGAAATAGCATAAGTCCTGTTGAGGCTGGAGTCACAGCTCTCTGATGGTCCAATGAGGGTATCATTGCTGCCAGAGGTCACATCAGAGGGTCTCATTGCTGCTAATGCCACCCATGTGGTGCTCATATCTTCTGCCCAAGTGGTGACAGCACCTGCTGCTGCCCAGGCAGTGCCAAATCCATTTCCACTATCACCAGCAGCAACAACAACATCCCTACTTTTGTGCCAGTTGAGCTGGACAGGGATGAAGGAAATGAGCACAGACAGTGCCCATGCCACACTGATCATTACCAGAGCCAACCGCTGGGTCATCTTCCTCTCGTAGCGGAAGGGGCTGGAAATAGCCCAGTACCTGTCCACACTGATCACACACAGGTTGAGGATGGAGGCTGTGGAGCACATGATATCGAAGGCCACCCAGACGTTGCAGAAAGCCCCGAAGGGCCAGTACCCAGCCACCTCAGCCACCGCCTTCCAGGGCATGACCAGCAGGGCCACCAGTAGGTCCGAGACAGCCAGGGACACGATGAAAATGTTGGTGACCTTGCTCCGCAGGTGCCGGTAGCGGACGATGGCCGCGCACACCAGCACATTCCCAAAGAGCGTCCAGAGGATAAGCAGAGCCAGTAGGCTGCCCGCTGCCACTTGCGCCGCCCCGGGGGCGCCCGCCGGCCCCCGCGCCCCGCCGGGGGGCTCCGCCGGCGGCGGCAGCGGGCTCCGGCCGCCCCGCAGCATCGCTGGCGGCTCCCGCCGGCGGCGGGGCGGCGGCGGCCGGGATGCACTGAGCAGCCAGCGCCGCCCCGCCGCCCGGCCCCATGGGGCCGCTGCCCCCCCGCCCCGCCGCCACCCCTGCCGGATGGCCCCGCTCCGCCGCCCCGGCGGCCCCGCTCGGCGGCTCAGCGCGCACCGCGCTCGGGGCTCCGCTCCTCGCCACCGGCGCCGCGCTCCCTCCCCGGGATCCCCGTCCCGCGCTCCGGGGACCCCACTGGGGTGCCCGCCCCGCGGCTCCGCGTGTCCCCCTGCCCGGGGTCTCCGCCCCGCGGCTCCCTCCTTGAGTCCCCTTACTCGGAGTCCCTTGTCCCGCGGACCCCGGGTTGGGTACCCGCCTCGCGTCCTCTCGCTTGCGCTCCCCGCTCCGCGGCTCAGCGCGCTCCTCTGCTCCTCGGGCTCTCCGCTCCGCGGCTCAGCGCGTCCCCTGCCCGGGACACACGCTCCGCGCCCGCTCCTCCTGGGGCCGCTCTGCGCCCCCGCGGCTCCCGGTGTGTCTCGCCCGGAGTGCCGGCTCCGCCCGGGCTCCCAGCGCGGCGGAGCGGCGCCCCCACCTTACTGCCCGCCCGGTGTCCGCTCCCTGCTCCCCGCTGGCCCGCCCGCCCCCGCCCCCCCGTGAGCATGCTCTGCAACCAGGGACGCCCCATCCGGGCCGGCACCCCCGGGGCTGGCGGGGGCGGCCGTCCTGCGCGCTCCCTCCCTCCGGAACCGAGAGACAGCACTCTCGCAGTTCTTTGGTGCTGTCACCGGCTCTGCGCGGCGTTTTTGCGCAGCTGGAGAGAAGAGTGCGGTCCCGCCGCGGGGAGCGGGGACATGCCCCGTCAGCATCTCCGCGGGAAGCGGGACTGTCGTGGATGGGTACGGACAGCTCGGTCTGAAAGGTGCGGTGGGGTGAGCAGGACGGGCTGGGTGTCATCGACAGGGATAGGAAACGGAGCCTGCATCGGTACTTATTCCAAAGGGTTCTGCTGGACAACTGAGATGTATCACAGGCAGCAAGCCCGGCAACCGAAAATCCTATTCCCTCTTTCCAGCTCGTTTATGGGATGAATCATTCCTCTCGCTAGGGCTCCAGCACAGCTAGAAACGGAGTATTACCGTGAGCGTTATAGGTGTGAATGCTGTACTCTCAGACTCACCATGTTCTTACGTCGTGCCTTTCTTCACAGAACATGCTGTAGTGATTTTTATTGAAAATATTATGCATTTTAAAATTTTAACTTAATTCCTTTTTAAAGGCGTTGACAGAGATCATACCCCTTCTTGATTCGACACTCAGTTGTGGCACTGAAAGGGCTGAGGAAGCCACACTTTCCAGGGGTCTTCCAGCTACTTCACCAGGCAGATGGGAAAGTACAAGACTCACTGTACCTGGATCTGCAGTGACACGAAGGAAGATTAAGTGCTAGAGTTTCTAAATAAAACAGAAAGGAAAATAAATAAATAAATAAAACTCTGCAACCTTTTAGGTAATTTTCTAAGATTGTCACAAGAAAAACTGGAGCTTCGCTTTAGCTCTCACTTAAGAAATTGGCACTACTGTTCCACGTTTAAGCAGAGATATATTTAATATTGGAGGGAAAATTTAGCTTTTGTCACCACTGAATTCTAAACAGCATGACTAAAGCTCTGATGCTGAGGCAGTGTGTTGCTTGCACAAACTCTGCTTTCCTAAGCAATGCCTCCTACAATTTCTCTAAACGAAGGACCAGATTGCACAAGTACTTGTGCACATGCCTGTTGAAGCTACTAGTCCAGAAATGGGCATATTTTATGTAAAAAAGCAGTTATCTGATTTGCTTTTTTAGCTTATATTCATTTCTTCCCCAGTGTAGAGGTGTGTGCACATACTTGTAGCATGCTGTCTATATGCATGTATAGTATTTGCATGCACTGCAGTCAGTACACATTAGCAATTTAAATGAACATGTCTGTAGGTGTCTGTCTTCTTAATAACAATAGTAGCTCATTAAGAACATAGCCTGCCCAAAACTCAGCAGCACACGTTGGTTGCTTGGTACAAATCAGCACCACTGTTGCAAGCACAGACTCTGGGCTGTGGCTGGGAGCAGCAGAGGTGCAGGTGTATGTTTATCTCCAGTTCTGACGTGTGTAGTGGCACCAGGCAAAGAGGGGGTGCAAGCAACCAGGAAGACACTTTAAACCATTGAAACAAAAATTGTAAAAGCTCACTTGTCAGATGTCTAAAGAATGAAAATTTGCACTGCTTTTTAGAGAACTTTTTGCAATAGGTGGACCCAAAGTAGAGGACTTTCCAAAGTATCCCATTTATTGGCCAGGTGTTGCATTTGGCTGTCTGGGTCCTCAGACCCAGAATTCAGAGGGTATAATATATACTCTAAATATATCCTCTCCCACCTATTTAATATGTAGCAAATATTCTCAATTTTCATCTAGTGTGAACTGATGTTGCTCATCAAAGATCTCTATGGATGAAGACCTATCACTGAGCTGGGGCAGATACATCAGCCAAAGACACACCTGTGCCAATGGGTGCACTGGTGATACAGTCTCCAGTGTTGATCCAACATTTCATGCATGCATGTTCAAAACTGTATTTTAAGGGATAGCAATACATTAGATCAGGAATTTTTTCAGTGGTAGCAGAAAAAGAAACTGGTTTGTGATGAGGGGACATATGAGACTAAAACCTCTGTTCCTACAGACTCCAGTGAGTTGTGAAGATGTGGAGAAGGAGCAGACAACAGAACAACTGCCTTGTGCTTGTATCAAATCATTCATAATGGCATCAGGACAGAGAAGCAATCATATAATGGATATGTTTATGGTGTTCATAGCATTCCATCCACTGCCATCAACATTTTTTGAGCCTGAGATAAAAACTTTTAACATTTATAGGTTATTAGCATCCTTTTTTAACTTTCTGTAGGCAGTTTGCATATAAATCTCATTTTAAGAATAGTCCATTAAACCCACAGCTGTCACTTGCTGAGAGATTTGGGTGGGTTTTTTCATCCTGAAATCATCTTTGTAATGGCTTTTGTGCTTTTCCTTCAGAGCTTTCTCTCGTTTTTCTTTTTTTTATTCACCTGTTAAAATTGCACTTCTCTCTCACAGCTGGCAGATTGGAAGTAATGGAATTTAACTGCTACTGCAATGGTTCTGAGTGAAAAAAAATCTTTGCAGTTCCTGATTTTAGAAATGTATGTATTAGTGGTTCTTTCCCTTCGTTGTCACATTTTCTGTTTCAATTTCAAAATACACAGACCCACTGTTCTGCCTAATAACTTTTATTTAAAAATAGTCAACACTCAGAAATTCACATATTCTCTCATCTGAGAGATACTTGATGTAAAGAGGTAAAAAATAATTAATTCCAAAAGGAAATTAAAATAAAGAGAAACAGATGTATGCTAGGTTTAGGCTATAAAAGCATTGCATCAAAAAGCTCCCATTACAGTTAGGCTCTAAAACAGAAAAGAAGAGGTAGTGGTAGAGGTGGAGGAGGCTGGAAGTCACTGCACATCAGGCCAATTTAATGAAGCCATTGAACATGTTCTTAACTGTAAGAGTATGCTCAAGTGGAGCTATATTTAGGAGCATGGTTGACTGTTTGCTTAAGGTCCATCAGCCTTAGTCAGTGAAGCTGAAAGTCTTTATTGCACAGGGGTGGACAAAGGTGCAGGTGTATATAAAGTCAAGCGAAAATACTGAGGAAGGAGGGAGATAACAGAAAAATCTTTGCAGACTAGGTCAGGTTCTGCTGTTCGTGTTTCAAACAAAAATAAATAGGAGCAACTGGAAAATTATCAGAAATGCATTGCAGGAATTATGTCTGGGAAACTTCTTCAGTTGAGCAGGGAGCATTGGGAGGGTTAGAACCAGCTGATGATATCTTACAGGGGGAGAAGTTTTTTTATAATGGATTACTTTTAGTATTTCAAGTAAGGTTAGAAAAACTGCAGTGGCTAGAAACTGAATCTCTGAGAAATGAGGGTAGAGGTAAGGCAAACATTTTTAACAGTGAGGATGAATAATGGCTGACGTGATAGATTTTGGATTGTAATAAATTTGCCGTCATTTGTAGTCTGAGAGCCAAGGCTGAATGCATTTCTCAGAGACTGTGCCTCAGCTCATCCTTCAGCTCTGTCTTGACTTGGACGGTACCGAACAACACTCTGTAGTCCTCAGGAGAAGTAATTTTAGAAGGCAACAGTTACCTCTGCTGGCCTTAAATCCTATTTAGTTTTTTGTTGAATTGGGACTGTGATGGATAGTATTAATTAACCATATGTAAAAGGATGAATAATTCTTCCACTGTTTCCATTACTTTTTCTCTGCAGTGAGTGTGATGTGGTTCCTACATTAGCCATTGATCACTCATGAAATAATTGATGTTACCAGAAGAAATTTCCACAGATTTTCGTTTGTTTGTTTGTTTGTTTGTTTGTTTCTGTTGTTGTTGTTTTTTGGTTTGGTTTTGTTTTGTTTTTTGTATTGAGCCTGACTTCATTTAAACCTATGGTAAAAGATGAAAGATGAATGCTATCCAAGAACAAGGGGAATAGTTCATTTTGCGGCTTTTATCTTATAGAATTTTATCTTGTATATTTGGATATTCATAATTATATGCTAAAAAATAGTATAATTATTTCTAAAATAGCAAGAGTTCACATGATGAGAAACTACTAAAGATCAGTGAAATTTGAAGTAAAGAAAAAAGAAAAAAACTGATTTTCACATTGGTACAATTTGGGGATGTTTTTCATGTTCTCTGGGTGTGCATGGCTACATCCCAGGCGAGCATCTGTCCTGAGAAAATAATCAACATGAAAAAATTGCTGAACATTTTAAGACTTTTATTTCATCTTTTGTCAACTATACTACCAAACTCCAAATAAAACTTAAGTGGGCTTAATTCCCCAAGAAGATGCTGTAATTTTTTGTCTCTGGCTTCAATGCTGTAAAAATTTGCCCTGTGGGGGAATTTGAAATCAAAT